TCGTTAACGAATATACCAGATTGTACAGGAAAAACAAAACATTTAATTCGGTTTAAAAATTAAGGGTTCTAAAATGATTTATCATCAAAATAACTAACACTTTACCGACAAATGATCTGATTTTACAGTAATTATTCATTGGTACGATTATTTAAAAAAGGTGATAAAAATATAACGTGCCCGTGAATGACAAAGGAATGATGAAATGAAAACTCGACATTAATTAAATTCTTGAATGACTTCACGAATAATTCTACGACATTTTAACACCTTAAAACTGGTTTTGTAAAGACAATAAAAATAACTTAGAAACAATGTTGAATGAAACAATTGGTAATTTAGAATTCTTGTATTAAAGATAATCTCTTTTATATAGCCAGTCCTAAACTTATATTCAGTTAAGAATTGTTAGAAACAGTTAACTATTACTTGAACTTTATATCAGTTTACTCAATTAATTTGTTAACAATAATCCACGAAAGTTTCTAATGATAATAAACTTGTATATACACGTTTTTATCCACCGTTTTAAAATCTAGGATAGATATTTGTTCTTTTCAGTTCGAATCTCAAATTTTTTAACAAAAAAAGCAATATCGAACTACATATCACAATAAAATAATAAAATTAATGTAGTTATTAACTGTTTGATTCAAGTCATATAGCGCGATAGTTTAATATGCAAAGTAACAGAAAAACAGCCCGTAGACGCAGATTCGAGTCTGATCCTATCTGTAAACTTTTAATGATATATTTTCTTTTTGCTTTGTAAATTTCAAATCAATTCAAGTGTTTTACTATCATTTTTTTTACACAAATAAAATTATCTTCAACGAATCGACCAAGGCATAGTAAGTTAAAAAATTTCTTACATGAGATTGCTATATTATCTAATATGGCAATCATTAATTGAGTAAATTTTATTTATTCTTTGAAAAATTTGTAGTAATTAAATAACTGTGCTTAAAAGTCACGAAACTTCATGAAACCGGAAGAGATATAATGTTTTGTATGATTTTTTTGTTGGTATGATTACTACGGTTTTATAATATCATATATTTCTTCTCCGACTGTGAGCTCACTATCATCAAAACCACCTTATTTGTTTTCGTAATATTGTAGATTCGTTTCAGCGGTTTTCTCACAGCACATATTATTTTCTTTAAGTTAACTGTTATTACAGTCATTTTCTGATATTATTTTATGAGACAAGTTAAAATTTGTGTTTAATTACAGCTTCAAACTTTTCTTTAGTTTTGCTGTTATTGAGAAAAATCTCTTATAAATATTTCGTTTTAATGAAGGCGTATATTGAAGAGTTATTGTTGTTGGCTGACATTTGTGTATAGTATAAAATCATTTTTACTTTTTAGCAATTTTCAGGCTAGGGAAAGGTATTTGTTAAATATGGAATTTTTATTTCGAATCTTACAGAGTGTTAGTCAAGTAAGAAGGCCTCTTTACAAACAATTGAAACATATTTTATCAGTAATTTAAGAAACATCAGTGTGAATTTTTATATTTGTTTGTTGTTATTTTTATGGTGCTGTACGCAATTATTGAGTATCGATATTTAAATATATGTGCTACACCAAAGCTTTTTGTGAATTAAGGCCCACTTTCAATATATACCTACTTTTAAAGTAACTGGAATAGAGCGAGGAAAGCGATTACCCGAAAACTATTTTTTCATAAAGTTAACAATTCAGTTAATTTCAAGGAATTTTATTTATAATTTTGATAATTTGTAGTATCTTTGCGTACATACATATGCTAAAAACGTATAATTCACATTCTTCGAAAACAACATCTATACAAAGATTGGATTTAATATTAAAGACTGTAAAAATAGTCTTATATATAATCAATATTCTAAACAATTCAATAAAAACAAATGAATCCACTTTGAATTTAGCTACTGACTTGTATTGTAGTTATTAATTTGCCTGGGGAGACTAGTAGCTAAATTTATCTGATGTAACAATGACAGAAACACAACCCAAACTTGGCTGGAGCTTTAATTTATAATTACGAATCAACTTCAATGGCAGGACGCTTATTCCCTTTACCGACATTTGCCTGTTTTACAAAACTTCTAAGACCGAAGTCTTAATACAAAACCAGCGGTATATTGTTGCAAATAATAGCTATTAAGAAAATACAAAAAATCTTTCAATGAGTTCAATAAAAAACAATATATTGACACTTTAAATGTTTTTAATAAAACTGTTTAAATATATAAAGGAAGTAATAAATAGTTCACACTGCTATGTTGAATTTAAATTTCAATTCGAGATTACAATCCAAAAGGAGGATATTCTTAGCTTTACTGAGAAACTTAATAGTTCAAAACGTTGCAGTGGACTAGTGAAGTGAACTATGTAGTTACGAATTGCTAAGACAGACGCCCAAACCATTCGAACTATAGAAAAGATATGACAGATGCAGATCGTATTACGAAATTGATTGTATTCATATTTTGTAGGATTGATAAAAAAATAATAACAAATAAATTTGTTTATATATTCAAAAGATTTCTTATACATTATTATTTCTTAACGTTCTTCTACAAAACGTTGTAAGTTGTCGCATCTGTTGATGCAAGCTTCCATTTTCACAGTCGTATATTCAATTTCATTATAGAATTGGATGCAAAAATTAAATGTAATAATAATAAGGATAATAAAAAAGTCACTAATAGTAATAGACTGTAATATAGAAATATGTTCTTGTATTTTGAAAGATACGATGTCTTATAAACGCCTTTTTTGTTTTCATTGTGATTACACGAGTATCATTACAATAACCAGACTCGTCATTCTCCGTGTCTAGTCTACTATATAAGTTCCAAATCAGCCAATTAATGTTGTATAAATGAACTTTCTAATTACATTATATTACTATTTACACATATTTTTATGGGAAAGCCCTAAAACTATAATTTTCCTTTATATGAATGAAATATTATGGTAACAAAACTATACAATTTGAGGGACCGCTAATGTACAATAATCTACCGAAAGAAATATTTAACGAAAAATATTTTTTGAAATTTAAAGATAAATTAAAAACATACTGTCAAACTTTATAACTATATTTGAATGTTTGTATATATAAGGTCACCATTAACTTTATAAATGTTTATTATTTTGTTACTAGTTTAAGTTTCCTATGTAAGTGAACTTTGTTCTCAATGGGAAATAAATCATATCTAAACCTATCCTACATATAAATAAACCCCTTAATTGAAAAGAGCTCAAACACATTTATATGTCATAAATATATTTATTTGCATCAGAAACTTTAGCGGTTATTAATTTGGTTAAATATTCATAATACTGAAAGCGCATATTATTTTAAAAAATCATGTTCATTAACATAATACATATTTGTATTTAATTAATGTGACGACAATTTATATAAATTATAAAACGTATTTTAATTACAGTTTGTTTTTAACTCCTCGATACTTAAATGTAAAAACAAAAGTATGTAGGTACATGTTTTAGATTAAATATTTCTATGTGTAAAAAAAATGCGAACATTTTTTAAATTATACTAATTTTAAAACTATATTACTAACTAAGAATTTCAAAACGCGTAGCAAGATATAAATACACTTAATTTAAAAACTAAACTATCAACAATTAATTTGAAAACAAAGGATAAAGAACATGCACACGATTGCATGTTTGTAACAGGGAGTTCTTCTCTCTACGATACGAGACGAGACATCGACTAAGTTAGTCTCAAGTCTCTCCATTTTCTTTAAATATTAGCATATGTGTTTAGTTATACTGCTTTTTATTACTTAATTTAGAACACTTATTTAGGATATAAGGTTATGCTAAAAGTAAAATAGATATATTGTTTAACATAGTAAAATTCTAATAAAAAAATATAAACCTTCTGGACTCTCTTGGACTAATAAAATTACTTTTATGTATAAAGTCCATCATAGTTCAACAAAGATCTCACTTAGCGGATCGTTAAGTGTTCTTGAAAGTCGCTATTAGTATGAAATATGAATTAACGACTATGAAGTGACGTACTGACGTCATTGGCATCTGAAATAAAGGAATAGAAACGCACATATACATATAAATAAAGAGTTTCAAAAAACCACAATCCTTTATTGTCTTACATTTATATTAAACGAGTAACATGTATAAATTCATATTAATGTACTGAATATAAAAAAAGTAATAATAATTATTAAAAAAATTATAAATGTTTATTGTTTTTAGGAATCCGGTTCATCTAGTTTGCTTTTTTAAATTCTTTATTGAGTTATTAATAGGCTTAATTGTAAAGATCGCTCTGGCTGTATGAATAAGTATAGTTATTGAGTATTAAGTGATGGTTAAATGTAATTTCTTACTGATTTTATATCTTTCTTTACCATCAAGTATGTGAAGTGTGCAATGAAAATGTTATCTTCTAACTATTAAATCCATAGATCATATACGACTTAATCGGTATACTTTGAGTATTTCCAGTCAATTTTCAGATCTAATTATCTGATTCCTTCGTTATATGACTGCCATGAATTTCATTTCTTTGTGATTTTCAAAATACTTTGGTATCTTATTTGTGGATTGGGAGACTATAAAGCCGTTGCCATTCTATGCTCTAAATTTTTTTATATCTTTGTCAAGAAAGATTTTGAAAACATTGAATCGAAGTGCTTAAACTTTTAAGACTTAACTGTACTTATTAACCCATACACAATATTTAATGAAAAATTTTTTTTGGATACATTTTCTATATGATATATTTATATCCTTTAAAATACTTAAAATAACTATTTATATCTAAATAGTAAAACTCAAAATAATGTTATAACAACAGCCACTCTATAATACTTTATTTCAAATGCGCATAACAAAGTAAGCTGAGAGGTTATGATTGATTAAACTCCTTAAAGCCGACACAACGATACCCATTCTTTAAATTAATATTAGTACTCCTGGATAATTCTGAATAACACGGATGTAAAAATGTATACGGAAAGACATTTCAATTTATATAAACGAGAAAAACCACACAATAGAGACTTTAATGGCAAGGAAGGAAAAGGTTGTATTTAATTCGTATAATATACATATACATATGTTAGCGAATGTACTATTTTGTATGAATACTGTTTGACTTTTTCTTTTCTGTTTGTCATTTAACTAAGGCATCTATTAGTTGGTTAACACGATTTTGAAAATATATAATATACATTTATATAATCAATATTTCAAGAACATCTTGGAAAAACCAATTTAGTTTTCTTAGCAAAAAAATGAATCTAAGAAAGAAATGCAATTGATATTATTAAAGTGTATTTGTAATTTTCAGCCTATGAGGCTAAGGACGTCTACGGACCGGAGATTACAGACAAAGACGGGGAACTGCTTGATCAGCACGACAGCTTTTATATTAATACAAAAAGCCTGCTGGTGTTGTTCCAAATCATGGGTGTGATGCCTATCATGAGAGTTCCAAAAGGTCATTTTTATTTACATACAATCGTATGCACTAATAAAAATCAATAATTAAGTTTATTTTACTCATAAAACTCAGTTCATTGTCAAAAGTCCGCGTTTTATATTTCATGTTTTACCTTGTTCATACTTGTGATATCTTGATGGAAAAAAATCTTTGTCATTTATGTAAAGTTTTATAAATTGGTTGAACTTATTACAGTAAAAAAAAATTCATAGGTCAAATCAAAATTTTGACTTATATTAAATCGGTAGTAATTAATATTTATTTCTGTTAAGTTTTGTCAATTTTCTTTCATATAAATATCTTGAAGACCATCTTATATGGATTTTTTTTTTAATTAATGTACACTTTATAACGGCATATGTCTTTTAAGATGCTCAAACAACTAAACGAACGACTTATAATTGGATATCCAAGGCAACATTGTGGGCGTATTTAGTTTGGAGTCTTGAGAGTATCATCGTTATTAAAGGTTTGATATTTTGATATAAATATTTGTGAAAAATATGAAAAAGTGCTCAAATAAATTAATTTCAGTTGGCAGAGAGCGATACTCCAATTTTCAACAGAACACGAATAAAAGATTTGACGAAGTTATTTACAACATTATATTTTTAAGTATACTTATTCCTCATTTTCTCCTCCCAATCGCATCTTGGCGTCATGGACCAGAAGTCGCTATATTTAAAAATATGTGGACACACTACCAGGTGACATTTTATAAACAGTGATATAAAGTCTCAAGAAATTAAAATTTCGGTTATTCAAAATATATTATTACCTCATCAATATTACACAAGTACATCAATATTTATTTATAATAGCTTTGAATTATCACTGAAAAAAATTAAAAATTTTTAAAGCAAACATTTTCATATTATAAATGAAAATATTATAAAATTTTAATATAGTTTAATAAAATACGAGTATAGTTTAACTTTAAAACACGCCAAATATTCGTTAATATATTAAAAAAATATTGTATGTTTGGTCATTATTACATTGAATAATGCTTATACTATTAATATACTAATATTATATTATCCATAAGTCTTGTATTAAGATAATTATTTAATTTCAGCTAAAATATCTCAAGATTACTGGAACACCAATAGTTTTTCCTAAACTATATTCTCTTACCTGGGGTTTGTGTGTTTTTTCTTGGGCTCTGAGTTTTGCTGTCATTCTCTCTCAAAACTACCTTCAAGACGATTTTGAATTATGGCAATCTTTCGCTTACTATCACATTATAGCCATGTTAGATGGTTTCTGTTCCTTGTGGTAAGTAAAATATAATTTACATGAAACCAATACTTTTCAGATATATTACGCGGTTTATTTTTGTGAAAAAACTACATACTCCCAACGTTTCGGCTACTTTTCAGCATCTATAATCACAATGTTCACATCGCGTCTGCCGTGTATTGTTGTAAAAACTACATACTATCGACGTTTCGGTTATTTTTCAGCAATCGTGATAACTGGCAGACGAGATATGTGGTTTCATTTAAATGAATACTCGCGGAAGCCTTAGATCTCACTATGGTAAAAGAGTTAACGTTGAAAAATCTATTTCAGGTATATTAATTGCAATGCATTTGGAACAGCATCTAAAGGTTTAGCGACAAATCTACATAAGGCTCTTGAAGCAGAACATCCGGCTTTGAAATTGGCTCAGTACCGTCACCTTTGGGTAGATTTATCTCACATGATGCAACAGCTAGGTCAGAATATGTAAATAGTTATATGTGTAGCATATTTATTTATAAGATCATTGTTTTTCACGCCTATACAAAAGTAAATTTAATTAAATGTACAATAAATCTCAAAATACAAATATGTTCAAACATTTAAATTTTCATAATAATTTTGAACCATTAGCCTGAGCGATTATATTCCACTACCACTTTTACATTATTACAAGTTTGTCTGAGATTTTATTTAACGCCAAGATAGTAATAGTAATATTACAATATTATTTTGTGTTCTTTTAAACAACATAAATGTTCGTATAAACCTAAATTTATAATTGGTTTATTTTATGTAATAATAGCAAATCAATAGAATAATAAAAAATAATAGTAATCTATGACATTTATGCACATTAATATTCAAACAAAAACACTACTATATTTAAATCGATTACTGAATAAAAAAAGAATTTAACGAAAAAATAAAACAAATAGTAATTTATGAAACCCAATATTTATAAATCTGTAATTTCATTCGTTTATACAAACATAAGTTTTTAACTGTATTAGCCTACAGCTTTACTTATCATAATAATATATTAAAACAAGGAATTATGCACTAACTTCTTATAAATTTGTATCACTTTAGGAAGAGCTTATTCGAACATGTATGGAATTTACTGCATGGTGATTTTCTTCACAACCACAATATCATTATACGGATCCCTGTCTGAAATATTAGATCATGGCTTTAGTTACAAGGAAATGGGACTATTTGTAATAGTGGGTTACTGTATGACTCTATTATTTATAATTTGCAACGAAGCCTATCATGCTACAAGAAAGGTGGGGGCTAAAAGAAATTTTCATTATTTTATAGTTAACTTTTCTTTTTGCCTTTATTTATAACTTGAAATTATATTACGTTAAAAATTTGTTTTATGAGTTATATTTAAGTTACATCTAAAATAAAAACGTTAAAACAAATGATCAAGTATCTTTAACTTCATTCAAAAATGTATATTATATTTCTTCAGGTCGGATTGGAATTTCAAGTTCGCCTTCTCAACGTAAATCTTGGCGCCATAGATCGCAGTACACAGCGAGAAGTTGAAATGTTTCTTGTGGCCATTGCCAAAAACCCACCGATTATGAACTTGGATGGCTTCACGAACATTAATCGAGAATTGTTTGCAGCTGTGAGTTCTGTTTTAATTAAATTCTATTTATCGTTACAATTATAACTATTTTCAGTCTTTAAAATAATTCCAAGAAGTTTATATACCGTCACTGTCTTTTATTATGTTTTTCTTTCAGAATATATCTTTTATGTCGACATATTTGATCGTGTTGATGCAATTTAAGCTGACGCTACTGAGACAAGGCACGAAGAAAGTTTTCAAATCAATCGTAGACGCCATATTTAATACAACAACTACAATGTCACAAGATGATGTCGAAGAGTAGATTTATTTTCACGAGCACTGTAATAGTTTGTGTTTTCATTAAAATGTTAAAAGAATAATTACATATCTTACTTAAATTTTTTAGTAGTATATAATTATACCTCGTAAGCCACCTTGAGTTAAATAAATACTCAAGTTGAAATTGAATCAGAAATAAAAGATTTTAAAACCACGGGTTCTGAAAAACTGTATTCGCTTTTCTTTTCTCATTACATTACTTTATAAATTCAATCTTTACAGAACTCAAGGACATGACCTAATGTTTCTATGCATTGATAATAATTTAATTTGCTGTGGCCTTTTGATTTTTAATTTATTGATGATTCTGTCTTCCTTTTATAAAATTTCAACAATACATTTATTGTGAGTAATTCCACCACAAACTTATCGATTAACATGTTTGTACAGAATTTCAAATTATAAGTTTATGTGAATATTATAGATACTTCACATGGGTATAAAACAACTTTTTCAATACTTCTTTAAATCATCTTATTTCTTAAGGGGTACTTTTTAATAAATACTAAATAATATAAGTAACATATTTGATGGCAAATGACCTAATCATTTAATTGTTTTCTATTAATACACAAAAACTCAGTAAAAAAAAAAAATAGTCAGTGGTGGCTCAGTGGTTAAAGGGCCCGCCTCTCGTTGCCGAGGGCGCGGGTTCGATCCTGGCCCGGGCAAGTACCAATGTGATTTTTCCGAATCATATGTACTTTCTAAGAATATTTAGACATCACTGATTAATGTTGATTCCCAAAAGAGGGTTGATGTCAGGCAGGCGGCCGGTCGTAAAAACAAATAGCCAAAACCATTCACCATGTTAGGCAGACCCTGGCTATAGCTGGGAAAAATTGCCAGGTAGAAGAAGAACACAAAAACAATATATCTTATGAGTAATTTTTTGATATTTCTGTGTTACTTATTGTTATATATGTATCTATCGAAAATATTTCGTAAAAAAATTATTTAAGAGCGTACTCGTACCAAGCCTCTTTCTATCGAAATTACTAATATGAATTATATTAACATTTAACACTCTAATTAATACGATTAAAACCTTTATTATATTTTGATATTTTAGCATACTTCCAATTCGAGTGGTAATGTTACAATAACAAGATATACGTAGTGTATAACAATAAAAAATAAAATGTGTACATTGAAACTGAACATGTTCTTTAATATATTCTCTTTTTGTAAGAGATACAAGTAAAATTTTGGTTTGTTACTCATTGCAAAGGTAATCAATAGTAAAGTTTATTAAGAAACTGTTTGTATAAATTAGATTTTATAAGTCTATTTTATGGAACAAAATGTAGTTGGAGTATAATATGTATAAATTTGTTCATACATAAACATTAATACATATGTTTCGTCATAAACTTAAAAGAGGTAGAAATATTTTACATGTATAATGGAAATTTTAAGGTTAAGCATAATTCTTATCTAATGCTCCATTTAGAATCTCCTCACGCACCTCCGTGCATTTTGAATTTTATAAAGTTAATGTCACAGAAAGAAACCGTTTAGCCATAACTTTCTGGAGGCGCCCTTTTAACTCGCGAGTTAATAAATACAAAAAATGTTAAATTAAAAGGTATGTATTTCTGTTTTTAAACATTATTTAACTACATATTAGATTTGGCAACTAAATATATAAAGAATAATATATATAATGTTAGCAAGTAGCCTGAATAGCTGGTCTACCTAGTTTTAAAATATTTCTTGTAAAGTGACATTTGAAATATGGTTTCAAAAATATTTTATATGCTTCTATAAAATTATTTCATGGCTGGAAGTACCGTATTGAGTTAAAAGAGACAAAAAGTGTTTTAATAAATATAGGTAAACATACTTTACTTATCAGCGTAAGCTAAGCCCTACGAATCTACTACTTAAAGTTATTAGTAACCTATAAAAAGTGAATTGTAAGTATCAAACACAGTACTCCGGGAATTCAACGAAATAGGATAAATAAATAATTATAAAAATAATCATATCTTTTGAATAATTAATTCAACATTCACAAAGAGGAGGCGCAGTATAGAGGAAAAAAACCTAATTTATAAAAAAGTATACAGAATCAGGGGAATTAAATTTTAACGATGACTCCGTCATCTGGTACGATGTGACTAGCTTTTTGTTTGATTAAACATTATTCCATCTTTTAGATACATTATTTAAACCAGAAAATGTCATATAATTTTACTTAAAGAAGACAAAAAAAGATTTAAATATTACGTTTTTATAATCCGGAGAAAAATCTTCAACGTTATTTTTACTAGAGTTATTATTAATACTGAAATAAATCTTTTCTCATTTTTCCAGTAACAATAGCACTCGACATTCCAATAAAATCAATACAAAAATTTTTTCAACCTACATTACAGATGAAAAGTTGCCATACTTTCGCTGTTCTTCAAGGTACACTAGAGAGGGTGTGAGCAGGAATTTCATTCAATTTAAAACTCCTGTGTCCGCACGAACTGATACACTTCTTCCTTCTAAATGCTGATAACAAAGGGTTGGAATAGTTTGACTTCGTCTGTGTTTCCTTCCAATTATAATTTGCTTGTTGTCAAGAAAAGGGTAAATAGGCTGTAACTAAGACATTGCGTTCAGCTCTATGTCTTAATTTCCAACTAATTGTTGGAATAACAGTTAAGCACCATCCCGTTTAAATAAAAATATATACATATATCAAAATTTAGTTTTCTTTTTATAGCAGTTTCTCTTTAGTCATTATACTTTTATTGTATGTTTAAATATTGTATCTGAATAGTTTAAGTTCCTACATATATTCAACATATATTAATATATTATGTTATAATTTATCCTTCAAAACAGATGAATAAACATTTTATTATACAGAAACTTCATTCACACCATTAAAACGGTAATTACTAAATAGCAACAAAGATACTGTTATTAAATATCTAATTAATCTTTAGAACTAATTATAATTTTACGATATTTATTTGAAGTCTTTTTAAGAAAATTCTGCAGTAAAATTTCGCAGTTCTTTCTTTCAATTTCTGTAAGTTTGTATAATGGATATCTCAAATAGTTGGGACAGTGGATGATTGTAGCAATCTTTGCATTTGATTATCAGAAAATATTTTCAATAAGCTGTTTAATACTCGCGAAATGTAAATCTAACTAGGCTTGTCAAATATCCACAGGCTTAGGCTTGTCGATAAAAGGAAAACAAATCTGTCCTTTTATGGGTCTTAAAATCCTTGAAAATTTAAAAGAATGAATGCAGTGAAACAATTTTATTTTTGCAATATCAGTAGAAACGGAATATTTTATCTAAGCACTGAAGTGATCGTAAATAAAATATTGTTTGTAATTTCTGAAGCGACCCCACCTCACTAAAGAAAAACACAGACATGTTTAACCCATGAGTCTGCAAACTTGGGCGAAGTAATGCCAAATTTATGTATTAAAAATCGAAGCAATCATTATTCATTAAAATGAGTTTCTTTGCTTTTTTATTAAGGATATATTTTATTAATATTTATGTGATAATAAAAGAAATGCAAATATACTTAAAATATAAAAAGACACGGGCAAAGCCGCCACTGAAACCTAGCAAATTATAAATGTTAGGTATTGATATAAGTACTAATTAACTACAGGCCGTATGCAGTTATGAGACGATTTGATTATTCAGTGGTTTTTCCATATAATAAAAGTCTTTAATTAACTACTCTAATATCCTGCCTGAACCTCGAAAGTTATACTTGCAAGATAGTACAATCCTTTTGTGAGCAAGTAACAGCTTATTCAATGTATTAAAAGTTGTTATAATAAAAACACAGAAACAAAAGTTATTACATAAAACCAAAACTCTTAAGAATCCATGCTCAATGTAAAGATAAAAATCTGAATATAATTACAAAGAATTTAAAAAAAAACAACATTATATTCTATGGGTATAAACCTTGACTTCTAATGGATGAGTCTATTTAAAATACAATTAAGCAAATATTTTCTGTTTTTTAAACTTTCTAGTTTGAATTTATGGTTATAGTTTGTAATTCCTTTGTATATACTAAATTTTTATGCAGCCAATGTATGTGATCATAAAGAGGAAATCATTTCTATTGTTAATAATAAAACGTTGTCTACATCAAAATCTCGAACAAACTGAAATATGAGGTGACTGTTTTTATTTAAGTAAAATTGTTGCAATTATTTTGTTAAATTTCGTTTGTGAATTTGTTTTGTTGTTTGAAAGTAATACATTTCACATAAATTTTGTATAAAATAATATATTTTGTATTGATGTCTATCTTAAAGTATTTCGAATTTTGATTTTAAAAATTATTAGAAATAATCAATTATGTATTTTGAACTTATTTCGAAGGAGATGTAATACGTGTGCATATATTATTTACACATTTGCTTACATCAAAGATTTTGATGTTCCATTATTTTAATTAAATATTCACTGCTCTGAAGTCATGTCTTGGTATGCGATTTTCACATCTGTTAAGACAATGTTTATAAGAATTTCATTAATGTGATGTCCAGTTGCCGTTGAAATAAAATCATACACTTAGTTTAAAGTAAATAAAATTACGAACCTATATACTTTAAATAATTTCTTTTTGAAATCTGTACAAAATAATTTTTGGAAGAGTTTACAAAACCTTCTTTATTTGAATATGCTAAAATCTAAATATTAAAAAAATATATATTACAATTTACAAATCACCTGAAAATAACAAAAGTTCAATTCGAACTTAGAGAAGAAATTTAATATAAGTTTTCAGTTCATACTGGTATTAAAACTGCTAATAACTGAAATAGAATTCACAAAACAAGTGTCGAGAAGGACATCATTACAGATCATTTTAAAAATGTCACATATATTTCTGTCGTATAAAGAAAACAACAAAGCGCTGAAGGGCACTCCGCTCGGAGTACCTGTTTCTGACGTGCACTACATCTGCCGGCATCCAAGTTTCTCTCTAGATTTCAACT